TGTTTAAAGGCTTTCCTAATCACTTTTTCATACTTTTCAATGCAATAATAAATAAACATATTCACTATTTCAATGGCAAATTGAAATGTTTCAACATAACCTCGAAAACCATTCTCTTAAAATACCGAATATTATGTGAAAACGTTTTCAAATTAATAAAAAACAAAAGATCATTACTTTATATTCACATTTATTTATTAATCATCACTAACTTAGTTAGTCACAAAAAAACTATAAAAAGTGTGAAGCACTGGAAAACGAGCAGACTGGTGCAGACACTATATTCTAATAAGGATTCTAATGACTAATTTGGCGTAAAAACAAACATCACTATGCTAATCATTTGGTTGTTTAAGGGCTTTCCTAATCACTTTTTCATACTTTTCAATGCAATAATAATAAATATATTCACTATTTCAATGGCAAATTGAAATGCTTCGACATAACCTCGAAAACCATTCTCTCAAAATACCGAATATTATGCTGAAAACGTTTTCAAATTAATAAAAAACAAAAGATCATTACTTTATATTCACATTTATTTATTTATATTCATCACTAACTTAGTTAGTCACAAAATAACTATAAAAAGTGTAAGCACTGGAAAACGAGCAGACTGGTGCAGACACTATATTCTAATAAGGATTCTAATGACTAATTTGGCTTAAAAACACAACATCCAATAGGCTAATCGTTTTGGTATTGTTTAAGGGCTTTCCTAATCACTTTTTCATACTTTTCAATGCAATAATTAATAAACATATTCACTATTTCAATGGCAAATTGAAATGCTTCGACATAACCTCGAAAACCATTCTCTCAAAATACCGAATATTATGCTGAAAACGTTTTCAAATTAATAAAAAACAAAAGATCATTACTTTATATTCACATTTATTTATTTATATTCATCACTAACTTAGTTAGTCACAAAATAACTATAAAAAGTGTGAAGCACTGGAAAACGAGCAGACTGGTGCAGACACTATATTCTAATAAGGATTCTAATGACTAATTTGGTAAAAAACACAACATCCACTATGCTAATCGTTTTGGTATTGTTTAAAGGCTTTCCTAATCACTTTTTCATACTTTTCAATGCAATAATTAATAAATATATTCACTATTTCAATGGCAAATTGAAATGCTTCGACATAACCTCGAAAACCATTCTCTCAAAATACCGAATATTATGCTGAAAACGTTTTCAAATTAATAAAAAACAAAAGATCATTACTTTATATTCACATTTGTTTATTTATATTCATCACTAACTTAGTTAGTCACAAAATAACTATAAAAGTGTGAAGCACTGGAAAACGAGCAGACTGGTGCAGACACTATATTTAATAAGGATTCTAATGACTAATTTGGCGTAAAAACACAACATCCACTATGCTAATCGTTTTGGTATTGTTTAAGGGCTTTCCTAATCACTTTTTCATACTTTTCAATGCAATAATTAATAAATATATTCACTATTTCAATGGCAAATTGAAATGCTTCGACATAACCTCGAAAACCATTCTCTCAAAATACCGAATATTATGCTGAAAACGTTTTCAAATTAATAAAAAACAAAAGATCATTACTTTATATTCACATTTGTTTATTTATATTCATCACTAACTTAGTTAGTCACAAAATAACTATAAAAAGTGTGAAGCACTGGAAAACGAGCAGACTGGTGCAGACACTATATTCTAATAAGGATTCTAATGACTAATTTGGCGTAAAAACACAACATCCACTATGCTAATCGTTTTGGTATTGTTTAAGGGCTTTCCTAATCACTTTTTCATACTTTTCAATGCAATAATTAATAAATATATTCACTATTTCAATGGCAAATTGAAATGCTTCGACATAACCTCGAAAACCATTCTCTCAAAATACCGAATATTATGCTGAAAACGTTTTCAAATTAATAAAAAAAAAAGATCATTACTTTATATTCACATTTGTTTATTTATATTCATCACTAACTTAGTTAGTCACAAAATAACTATAAAAAAGTGTGAAGCACTGGAAACGAGCAGACTGGTGCAGACACTATATTCTAATAAGGATTCTAATGATTAATTTGGCGTAAAAACACAACATCCACTATGCTAATCGTTTTGGTATTGTTTAAGGGCTTTCCTAATCACTTTTTCATACTTTTCAATGCAATAATTAATAAACATATTCACTATTTCAATGGCAAATTGAAATGCTTCGACATAACCTCGAAAACCATTCTCTCAAAATACCGAATATTATGCTGAAAACGTTTTCAAATTAATAAAAAACAAAAGATCATTACTTTATATTCACATTTATTTATTTATATTCATCACTAACTTAGTTAGTCACAAAATAACTATAAAAAGTGTGAAGCACTGGAAAACGAGCAGACTGGTGCAGACACTATATTCTAATAAGGATTCTAATGACTAATTTGGCGTAAAAACACAACATCCACTATGCTAATCGTTTTGGTATTGTTTAAGGGCTTTCCTAATCACTTTTTCATACTTTTCAATGCAATAATTAATAAACATATTCACTATTTCAATGGCAAATTGAAATGCTTCGACATAACCTCGAAAACCATTCTCTCAAAATACCGAATATTATGCTGAAAACGTTTTCAAATTAATAAAAAACAAAAGATCATTACTTTATATTCACATTTGTTTATTTATATTCATCACTAACTTAGTTAGTCACCAAAATAACTATAAAAAGTGTGAAGCACTGGAAAACGAGCAGACTGGTGCAGACACTATATTCTAATAAGGATTCTAATGACTAATTTGGCGTAAAAACACACAACATCCACTATGCTAATCGTTTTGGTATTGTTTAAGGGCTTTCCTAATCACTTTTTCATACTTTTCAATGCAATAATTATAAATATATCACTATTTCAATGGCAAATTGAAATGCTTCGACATAACCTCGAAAACCATTCTCTCAAAATACCGAATATTATGCTGAAAACGTTTTCAAATTAATAAAAAACAAAAGATCATTACTTTATATTCACATTTATTTATTTATATTCATCACTAACTTAGTTAGTCACAAAATAACTATAAAAAGTGTAAGCACTGGAAAACGAGCAGACTGGTGCAGACACTATATTCTAATAAGGATTCTAATGACTAATTTGGCTTAAAAACACAACATCCACTATGCTAATCGTTTTGGTATTGTTTAAGGGCTTTCCTAATCACTTTTTCATACTTTTCAATGCAATAATTAATAAACATATTCACTATTTCAATGGCAAATTGAAATGTTTCAACATAATATTATGCTCCCGATTACGTCGGTTGGTACTAATGCATAATGACAAATGTAATTGTAACTTATTTATAGGTTAAGGATTTTATGTCAAACATAGAAAATGCAAAATAAATGAGATTTTATTGAATAAATTATTATATCTTAATCATTTTCAGTAAAAAAATTAAGTTTTATATATTGACCCCGCCCACTCTCGATAGGCGTGGGCGTGGCCGAAAGTGTCTGTAGGGATAGTGTCTGTTGGCTTGACGAGCGTGAAAATACAATAGAAAAATATATTAGAAAATTCGATATATATGAAAATATAAGGAAATTTATTGTTGTATTTTTATTTTGTCTACCAATAACACTGATTTGGAATAAAATGATACTGTAACTATTTTTACTTGTAACAATTCATCTTCTTGAAATTAAAATATAGAATTGTCATTAACATTATGAGTTCATTGACTGATTTTGGACCAGACTCTGGAGGTCGAATGAAGGTATTCTTACACATTAACTTGATATAATAAAGCTTTACTAAATTAACTTGATATAAAGCTTTACTAAACTTTCAGGGAGTAATAATAATCAAACCCATTGTGTATGGTAATATAGCAAAGTACTTTGGTAAGAAACGTGAGGAAGATGGCCACACTCATCAATGGACTGTTTATTTAAAACCATTTAATGATGAAGATACTTCAACATATATTAAAAAAGTACATTTTAAATTGCATGAAAGTTATGCAAATCCAAACAGAATATTAACAAAACCTCCATATGAAGTTACAGAAACCGGTTGGGGAGAATTTGAAATCGTTATTAAAGTATATTTCCATGATCCTACAGAGCGGCCAGTAAGATAATAAAACTATCACATGACAAATTATTTTTTTGATATTTTAAATGGTATTCTATATTGTAGCTTACTATATATCATATTTTAAAATTGTTTACATCTACCATTCCTGATTCTGGTTCAAATTTGGCACTTGTCACACCTCAACAAGGTTTGGTATCTGAATCATATGATGAGATTTTGTTTCAAGATCCAACTCAATTGATGCAACAACTTTTATTAGCTGCCACTAAACCTGAAAGCAAAAGTGTTATAAAACATGATACTGATTGTAAGTTGATGTTTTCTTAATCAAAATGCTTTGTGGTTTTGTACTAATTGTATGAGGTCTCTACAATTCAGTTCATTTCTTTGCTTGATGTTTTTATATATGTATTTGCAAACTTATTTTAATTGGACTAAAATTTGTAAATTTATTTATTTTACATTAAAATACTTATAAACGGTGTAATTTGCTGAATGCAATAATTTAACTTAAGTTGTTAAATTCAAGGTTATTGAACTTAAGGATGTTGAAGCTCCATAAAAATGTTCTTCGTAATTTTGTATTAATTATGTATTGAAAGATTTGCTTGATTAATATATAACAAGATTAAATAATTGTCATTGCTACTCTTAATATGTCATAAATTATTATTTATTAATTGGTCTAAAGAACAATTCTTGATTTATTATTTTAAAAAGAAAAAAAGAAGTTTTTTCCTTAACATAAGGCTAATCAAATTATATAATCCTGTAAACTAATATTGATTATTTTTCATTTTCAAGTCGAGGAGAAAAAAAAGAAAACCTTGCAAACTATAATCGAAGCAAAATCAAATGTGAAGAAAGATATAGCTCAACTCAAGGATAAATTGAAATTAGCTAAAGAAACTATTGGAAAGTTTAAAATGGAAATTGCACAAGTAAAGAGCAATACTGCATAAATTCAATTATAGAAATGATAATTTTTATTACAGATTTTATTGCAATAATAAATATTTAATGTGAATAATTTATATAGCTTTGTAAGTTTTGTAACTAAAATAAATGTTATTTGTTGATACCACAAACACTCATTGTAACTTATTTTACTTGTACCAATCACAATTAAATTAGTTCAAATTTTCATCATCAAATAAATCATCAAAATCTGCAAACAAAATAAATTAATTACTATATATAGATATATTATATTTAAATAAATTTATAAATTATATTACCATTGAAAAAATCTGCATGAACAGCCTTCTCGTTTGCTGCAAGATCCATTAACAGTCCACTTGATCCACCTGCCTACTTAAAATAACATTGTGATTACTTTGTAATAATCAATTATATTACGAAATTAAACATGCTATTTTATTTTATATTATTTTAAAAAAAATATTTAATTATGAAAAAGCGATAATCGCCTACATATCATATGATTAAGAAACATTTACATCTAAATATATTTTTTCATAAAATAATATAAATCAATATCTGCCTCTCTGTAAGCTTCTTGTTCAATGTAAAACAATAAAATATTTAACATTGTAAAACGTATCATGTATCATCAAGTAAGATTATAGTTTTCTAAGTATTGTTCATTATTGTTATTACTCTTATTTAAATAAAATTATAGAATTAACCTCTTCCAAGTCCATGTAAGGACCCGCACCTTCTGGAAACATTTCATCAGCAACAATTGTTGGTTTCATTGTATTAACTCACAGATTAAGATTTTTCTAAATAACTTTTTTAATTTTATATTAATGGTCGATTTATTACCAAAGCTGTCTATGATTCAGTACAAAATGCAAATAAAATATGAAATTTCTAACCTTAACCATTTCTTGCTACAATTAAGTCACAAAGTTTGACATTTGTATGCGAAAAATTCATTGCCAACAATACTTATGAATTGTGTTAAACTTCATTCATGTTTTTGATAGGAAGATTAAATTCTAATTTTGTCTAGGGGTAGATACCCTAGACAATATAATATGGGCTGATAGGCGCCTGGTTAATGAACATGGACTCATAGATAAAAGGATGGACTTAGTGATGGAACAGAATTACTTACTACAGGGGCTCTTCAGAAGAATAATATGATGAAGGTAAAGGCAAGCATGATCTTTTTGAACATATGTCAACATTGGAGATAATGTGCTCCTGGTTAGGTTCTACATTGAACTCTGATACTCATATAAATATTGTGATTCAAATGAATGATGAAGTGGCACTTCATTTCTAGATTTGTGTAGCTAATGGGTTGAAAGGATCATCAGTATCTGCAATATGCAATATTTAAAGGATCATCTTTGTTTGTGATTGAATCATAACTTTCCTTTTCTGAACTGCCTGATAAAGTACCAACTGAAGATAATCTTTGTGAGTTTTGCAGATAAGTTGCATCCACACTCAAAATAGCTCTAGATATCAATAGATGGTTCATTAATAGATCTGTTTTAGGGTTTGACTCGTTGCAATCCATTATATTTTTGGGTTTGATTATTTTTAAAATGTTATGTAAAGCTGTTGGAGTTTTGTTGCCTGAGTATTGAATATGTATGCCAAGTTTTTGCAAATATTTCTGATAAAAATGGTGATACTAAAATGTGGTGAACTTGTTTCTCTTTATAATGCCTGGAAATGAAAAAATGATTATAAATGTAGTTATAATAATGCAAAATGATTTATATTCGAATACCTGAAACATGTTTTAATATCTTGGCAAGGTTTTGATTCAACAACTCTTAAATCTACATTAAGAGCCTTTGTAAAGTTTGTATCTTTCTTCAATAGCTTCAAAAGTAATAATCTAATACTCCCGATGTGTACAGTGTGACCCTTTATAGCAATTCTAAGTAACAAATCTTCCATTTCTATAACCTCTAATGCTATAACAACTGTTATAGAACTAAGATAATAAAAATAATTGTTATCTGAAAAAAACTGTAATTGTTTTAGATCTTAACACTTTCGGATACTTAACATTGTAAAACGAATTACTTAACATTGTAAAACGTATCAAGTAAGATTAGTTTTCTATGTATTATTTATTATTGTTATTACTCTTATTTAAATAAAATTATAGAATTAACCTCGCCTTCTGGAAACATTTCTTCAGCAACAATTGTTGGTAATAGTTTATTTAATATGCAATATGTGATTTAGTTTTAAACATTGTCAAAATGTAAAATTAATCTTTGTATGTAATAAGTATTACTTTCATAAAAATGTTCTATATTATTAATAGCTATAATCTTTATTTTATAAAAATGTGATTCATTAATTTAATGTTAGGTAAAATTTTAATTAATAAATAAATACTCCTTGAAAGACATTTACAAATTTTTTTTTATTGGAATCTGAGTGCACAAAGCAGCCTATACATATATAAAAGAGTGCATATGAGTGTATACAAAGAATACAACATCCTTAAACACCATAATGCACTATAAAGCAAAAAAGTTAGAGAGCATAAATAAATACAACAGAATAAATGCAGAAACATTACTATTTATTTTATACATTAGCAACAGTATGTAAATAATAAAGAAATTACAAATCAATCAAATTGATATATAAATGATTTATATATGAATAGCAAAACATCAGACTGAATATATATATATATATATATATATATATATATATATATATATATATATATTAACCCCAATACATTTTTAAAACCTTTTCAAATTATGAAATTCTTCACAAAGAGCTCATTTTCAATATTAGATTATTTTATAGGTATTTTACCTATCACTGCACTACCACCCTGCTTAAAATACGCAAATACAGTTTTTATCATCGTAAGGTGTAGTATCAGTAAATACATACATATTGAAAAAGTCCACTTACTTTGCCAATATAAAATGGAAAAGTCGATAAATTTTACATATACTGTTTACTTGTAATATCACGTTCATGCGAACTTTTCAAACTTGTTGAAATATGTTCTTTTGAATCAGATTGCACTTTTGAAATATCTCCTTCTCCTGGAAAATTATTCTTCAGAGCAAGAGGTCAGAATTTCAAATCTTTTATGGCTTGTGGGAGGTCAGGTAATTTTATATCCTTAATTTGTTGAGGTATGTTCATGTTTTTAACAGCACTAACAGCCCTTCCCGGTGCTGCAGAAATACCTGCTTCCTGCTTTTGTAACTTATTCTGTTCTTCTATCCTCATCAAAATTTCAGACATATTAGTTTGCAAAACCATGCCTCCCATTACTAGTTCATTTAATATAAAATGTACTGAATCAGCATGAAAAATTAAATCCAATTCACAAACATTTTCAAAACATTTATCCAATGTTTCCACAAAAACTTGTATTAGATCTAAGATTCCTAACTCGCTTTCACAAGAATCTACACAGAAGACAAAATACAGTGTAGCATAATGCCTATATATTAATTTGTAATCTGAGCCACCAATTAAGCTTCCGCCTTCTAAAAAATTGCATACGTTATCATCTCTCTTAGAAACTAAATGGAATGTTTCTTTGATAATTTGTTGCTGCATATCTTCATTAAAGTATTGATAAAACTTGGATAGCCGAGGCTTTCCGTGATTATTGAAGACAAGAATAGCCTTTATCATAGTGATAATTTAATAATATATAAATTTATAAAAAAAATTAATGTAAAATATATTAAACACCAAACGTAACTGCCAAAACAATCGAAACACAAGCATGAACTACCTACGTTTTATTTTATAACTAATAATAATTTTAAAATCTGTTAACAATTTTAACATCAAAATAAAAATCTTTAAGTCAAAGAAACGAATGCAAGCCATAGATATGCCATAGATTATAGATAACAGATACGCCGCTTTCTCAAACGTCCTAAAAGACAAGACCACATCTCTTCTTTTATCTATGGACAAGACATATTTGTTTATTTGTTTTTATGTTTTAAGACAAGACTCTTTGTTTATCTATGAGTATACTCTTCTTTTATCCATGGAGTATACTTTGCTTATGCTGACTTATGCTTATTTATCTATGAGAAGTATCTGACTTATGCTTATTTATCTATGAAAGTACCATGAGTCCTATGAGTCCTATGAGTCCCTAGACATGCCCTAGAGCCTAGACATATCATCAGAATATGATGTATTCATATTGGATTCATAATGGAGAATACTCACTGAAGATATCTGCCAAGCATAGATAAATAAACAGAATAATTAGAATTCAGTTCTGTAATGGCTCGACTCCATTGCACGAATCCGTACGGCGAACCTATTCGCAATGTGCGCAGACTAAATTATTGCAAGCAAAAGCAAACCACACGCATGTCGAAAACAGGATTCGCCGTGCGCGTTCGTGCAGTGGAGCCATGTGGAATATGAGAAATGACCCATATGAACATACTCTCTTATCTATGATTATGACTCATATTCAAATGAAAGATTATGACCCTGAATATGATATGACAAACAACAAATAACAAGTCATTAACGCAGTTATTATTATATTGTCTAGGATTAATCGTTCAATACAAATACATTTTCAATGTTTATATGCTGTAATACTCAATAATATATTTTTTTTGTAAGTAATATAAAAATAACCTATTGAATTATGATAATTGTATATGTATTATATAAGCTAAAAACAAACTCTAAATTAAATTGTTATATATTTTATACTTTCAGATAAATGTTAAAAGGTATAAATAAAATTATTTCAAGTTTTTCACATTCTGGAGGAAATATAAGAATGAGTTCAAATAAATATCTTCACAATGTAGATGTTGCTACAGAAAAAGCAACATTTGGAATGGGTTGCTTTTGGTCATGTGACTCACTGTATGGGGCAACATTAGGTGTTATACGAACTAGAGTCGGTTATTCAGGTGGCAAAAACAAAGAAGTGTCATACCGAAACATTGGTGATCATACAGAAGTTATTGACATTGACTTTGATCCAACAGTGATAACTTACGCTCAACTATTAGATATATTTTGGAATCATCATGAATATGGCCTATTAACAAAAGTTAAACGACAATATATGTCTCTTATTTTATATCATAATGAACAGCAAAAAGAAATTGCTGAAAAAATCATTCAAGAGTCAAGCAGTAAAACTAAATACTGATCTAATTACTGAAATAAAAAAATTTGAAGTTTTTCATCCAGCTGAAGATTATCATCAAAATATCGCTTACAAGGACACAGTGAATTCATGTTATCTTTAGGATTAAAACCAGGGGAGTTACTCCAAACATCACACCTGGCAGCACGACTTAATGGATATTTGGTTGTCAAGGTGGTGAAAAACAGTTTTTAGCTGAAGCTAGTAAATTAGGTCTAAATGATGAAGAACAGAAATATGTTTTGAAGTATTTAAAAAAATATGAAGGTGCAGGACTATTTTGTTAACTACTTTGTAAATGTTCATCGTTTTAAACTGTATTACTGATCAGACTTGCCAAAATTGCAATTAGTTGGAAATGAATACTCAGCATTATTTCTTTTCAACGGTAAAATAGCAATCAATATTTATATAGTAAATTTGCAGCATATAGTGTCATATCACTTTATCTTCAAGTTGAAATCATAAAACTAATTGTAGTACAAAATATTGTGTTAACAAATAGATTGACTTATTTCTGTTCTTATAATCTTTTGTTTTAGCTTATGGCAATTACTGATCATTGATACATCATAATAAATGTAAATGCAGTACATTGTTTATTACAAAATATTGTTATCTAAATTGAGGCTTTATGTAATAAGTTTAAAGATTTTTTTATATTATATTTAAAATATATTTTATCAAATCTTCTACTGTGTGTTTTAAAGAAAATGCATTTTAATGACATGATATGATTTTTGTGTAGTGTAAATTATTGAAATTACAAATAAAAAATCATATTTTTTATTCTGTATTTTCATATTGAATCCCTTCAATAATGCATGTATATAATATAAGAATGAACAAATATACAACTTACTTTTTAATCTTGTGTTGCTCTACAATAAGCTTTCAGTGATGGGCACTACAATACAATATTCACTTGTTTTGAGCCATTGTAATTCTCCTCCTCCCCATCTTTGGAAATGTTTTTTTTTTTTTTTTAGAAAAAACTGAAAATTTTATATTTTAAAAGCTTGTAAAATGTATTTTTGCAAAAAAAATCAGATTTTTTAATGGTTTAATTGTATAAACAAGTATTTTAGACTATATAGATTATTCAGTTGCAAAATCATATAAAATTAGAAAGTTCTGTTTATTACTATTTTAAATTATATGATAAAAGTGAACCTACGATATCCTCTTCAGTATTATCTGTTATATAGTTAAACAATAAGTAAAAGTAGATAACTTTTTATTATTATTAGTTTATATATATATATATATATATATAAAGACTATTCAAATATATATATATGTATATATATATATATATATATATATGTATTGTGTGTAGAAATTTTATATTGTTTTACCAGATTGATAATGTTTCAATTCTTTACTCCATGAACATTGATTTCACAAGAAACATAGTTGGATAATGAAAAATTTAAAAAACTCATATTTACAAAATAATATAGTTTTATTTTTTTGACCAGCAACCAGCATTTACGAGAACTCTAATCTGTGGTGCTGAATTGACTTAATACTAGTCGGTTTTGCAGATGGCAACCCTAATAGTTTTTCTCATCTTTTTATGATGATTTATTGTATATATATATATATATATATATATATATATATAATATATGTATGTATAATGTTATATAAAATATAATAAGTCTAAAGCCTAACTATAATTAAATGTGATTTCAATGTTACTAAACAACTTTGAAATAAATTCTTTGGCAGCTTGCAATTATGTTAATGATTAAAGTTTAATATATATAAAATTCTTAAAAGTAATGTAACTAGGACCCATTAATTACTTCCACTAAATGTTAAAGTTACATTTTAAGACTTTTTTAATTTATATTTAGTTATGAAAATAGAGTCTCATTTTTCTATATTAAATTTATATTGAGCTTTATGATAATCTCATGTCTAATATATTTCATATTCAAAAATATTATTTCAATCAATATAATGGCTAAATTGATAATCAATATTAAAAAAGTACATTGAATCAAAACTTGGTTATGCTTCAAGCAAAAGTCATAATTTTCTGGTGGAGGTGGTATACTTGGAGGGTCTGTGGTATTTCAAGTCCTTCTACATCTAAAAGACGTAATTTA